CTTAGTTTTTGTGTACTTTCTATAATTCCAAGACAACATCTTCTTAGTTTTTGTGTACTTTCTATAATTCCAAGGCAACATTTTGCTTTTCTTTACTTATATAAGAATGATAAGTAAATGTATCTTAAGAACATCTAACTTCCTTACCAAGCACACAGATATGTGTCATAACGTCATAACATAGAAATAATTATCTTCTTACGTTGTACGCACGTAAGTGTTTCTATAAAACACAAGAACTATGTTTAATTTGTTTACACCTGTTGTTGTTTTATTGCTAATAATTATCTTTTTACGTTGTACGCACGTAAGTGTTTCTATAAAACACAAGAACTATGTTTAACTTGTTTACACCTGTTGTTGTTCTTATTGCTAATTATTATCTTCTTACATTTTACCCACTTAGGTGTTTCTATACACCACAAGAACCGTGTTTAACTTGTTTACACCTGTTGTTGTTCTTATTGCTAATTATTATCTTCTTACATTTTACCCACTTAGGTGTTTCTATACACCACAAGAACCGTGTTTGATTTGTTTACACCTTTTATTGTGGTTATTGTTTGTTTACTTTTTAACAGAAGAAAAGTACCTACTAAACATCTTTAGGTATTCAATTTTTCAGTGTCACTCTTAGTTACACTTGTGCTATTCCTCCACAAACGTAAGCTACGATATGAAATCCTAAAGCTTATTAGGGATTTAGACGTGATTTAGTTAATGAACCGACAAATCATTTACACTGGTTCGTACTTTGACTTTCTTCAAAGTAGTAATTTTATTACTCATAATACGGATATCTTAAATACAGGAAAACTAAATCAGATTAGTTAAGAATTTACATTAATAAATTTAATGATTGTATCCATATGGAGCAGCGTGGACAACAGCGTGTATGGCGGGTTGATGATATAGGGGGACATGAGCGGCATATAAGGCGGGGGCGTGAACCTTCACTATCTTATGGGGTCTGTAGGCCTTAACTGGGACTTGATATTTTATTGGAGACTCCTCGGCGGCGATCTGAACGTCAGCAGGGTTGGCGTTGGCAGTACCTGGCTCGTTGGTCTTGATCACGGGGCGGAAACCAGCCTCATCGGCGACGTACTCCACTTGTCGGTAGACACCGTTAGCATCACGGTAACCAAAGGAGCCCTGTTTGTTGCCATAGTCGTCACCACTCTCTCGTTGCCATAAGGAACCAGCGTCATCAGTTTGGATCTCGTAGTTGAAGTCGTAAGGCTGAGGTTTCTCCTAGAGTATCAAAACAAAGATTCGTAAATTCTTGAGTATCATTTGATTTTTTAACTAAAAAAAAATTATCAAAATAACAGTAGTGTACGAATGTGTTCGGATCTTTGTAATAATTTGATTACTACAACTATTTTGCTGAAAATCACTATATCAGCAAAACTCAAGCTAACTGTAATGTTATGGACCAGCATTCTCGTGATATGGACTTAACTCATTTGGTTAGTGGAAGATTAACTGACACTGACGGTTTGGCCAATTTGAAATTTTGTATGTATAACAAATTTTTCTTTTCTTTTACTTGCTACACCAAAATTACAGTTTGCTCTTTTTATAACACCAAGCAATTATAATAAGGTAATTGTATAATATTTACCTTAGACAAAAATGTCTGACCTTAGTCATCTTTTAAAGTTAAGAATATTATAATCATTGTTGTTGTTTTAGAGAAACATAATCACACTATCCTTCTAAAACTCAAGAACATTTGAAAATGTCTATTCTTTACATTCGGCATCTTAAGATGCAACTTTTTAATGTGGTAAGTGAGAAGAACGTGAAGAGTTTATAATATTTGTAGATTTTTGCTACGAAAACCATAGAAAGTCCTTTCTTTAATGACTATTACTAACTTTCTGCCCTGAAATTATCTAGCGACTGAAACATGGGTATAAGAAATACTTACCACTACTTTTGGTGCGTAACTTGCGGCATGATAGACAGGAGCAACAACTTTCAAGGCTGGGGCGTATCCGAAATTTACTGGGAGTATTCCAGCATTGACGGCAGCAACGGCCAGACAGAAAAAGACAACCTTTATAAAAAGTAATTAAATCATAGGAAACAATTTATATATATACATACATACGTATGATATCTTTACAATAACAAATATATATATACATACATGCGTATGATATTTTTACAATAACCAATATATATATACATACATATGTATGATATTTTTACAATAACAAATATATATACATACATACATGCGTATGATATTTTTATAATAACCAATATATATATATACATATGTATGATATTTTTACAATAACAAACATATATATATATATACATACGTATGATATTATTTTTTTTAATAATATTGTTATAGAACAGCTCTAACCAAATCCAAATGAATGTTGTTACTTTAGAACTAAGCTGCCTTAATGGTTCTCTGCAAGGTGTCTGCCACGTTAATCAAACCCACAATTATAGCGTTATAAACAATAAAAGTTATCGCTGAGCCACCGGGACATTTTATTTTTTTTTTTTTTTGCCTCGAAGACTCCACTTTGTGTTTGCAGCGTATAGATATTTAAAACTTTGAATAACTTAATCGCTACGCTCATAGTTATTCGAAGATAGAATTATTATATGAATAATAAGCCGAATTTTTTAGGTGTCTTCTGAAATCTTTATATTTTTAGTGCAATGATACTATGTGTGTGTGTGTTGAAGTTTCAGTATCGCGGTAACTTAAAAAAATAATTAAACAAACTGATTCTGTAGAATTAAATTTGAATATTCAACATAACGATACATTTGGGCACGTGGGTTAAACGGCCAAGTCAGAGATTCCTATGGTTCGGGTATAGTCTTTCCTGATTTTGAATTAACTACCAAAGGAAATGCAGTCAGCCAGCAACAACTACAGACACGAGAGCTTTGTCAGGCATTGTGAACCAAATAATAGGATTGAATGTCACTTCTACAAC